AAAAATTTCGAACATAATCTGTCTCTCGTGTCAGTGTTTCAATTGAGATATTGGGGCTCTGGATCATTTTGCTGACACGATTTACTTGGTACAACACATTGTGCCAAATAATGACAGATAGAATAAAGTGCCACGATTTGATTTTCTTAGACAAGCTGAGTGCTGTAGATTTCGTCTCACTGTCTTTTTTTTCAACAGCATATTCCGTTAATGCATCCAAGGCTTCTATTATATTTGGCAGCTAATAATGCAGGGCATTAACACTACCATCTTGATGCGACACTACCATCTTGTGGTGGAGAGGCCCTTCACAGTTAGTTGTTTCACATGTTCTTGAAGGTTTGACCAGCGCTTAACAGAGGAGCTGAAAATATTGTAAAGCTGCTGTAAAACTCCAAAGAAACTGACAGAGAGTACAGAAGACTTGGCTGCATCACTTATAACAAGGTTGAAGTTATGACTACCATGGCCTGTTCATTTAAATCAAGTAGCCTCTTCTGCACACCTTGTTTTTACCCTTGCATGTTGTTTCATTTGTCATACGCTTGACCTTTTCACTCAACAATGTCCAATTTTAATTGAATCCGATATCCAAGGAGACTATCACATAGTTCTTTTTCCATAGTGTGATCAACTTTAAGGAAGCCAATGAAATGCTCCGATATAGCAACAATTGCATTTAGTGTTTTCTGCCGCCTGATAAGCATGATGATTTCATTCTGAATATGTTTACCCAAGTAATGGTCTTTTATTTCACCTTTTTCTATTCTCCTTAAATGTTCACACATAAAAGGATCAAACTTTGCCATTATTTCAATCAGTCCTAAGAAGTTTCTGTTATGGGGATCATGTATCTTTTCTGTGTGCCCATGGAAGGCTTGGTTGCGTACAGCTAAATGACACACAGTTGCGACAATTCTCTTTAGTACTGACTTCCAGTATTTCTGCTCAAGTGCCTGCAGTTGCTGGTGAGCATTGTCAATTGCTGTTCCTGTATTCAATTGATGCCAGTTCTCCATGTTTGCTAGATGTATGCTTGAATGTTCGTGTTCCTTCAAATGGTGAGCAATATACTTCCATGCTCAAAAGCCCCCCCCCCCCCCCCATTGGACAAACTATTTTTTCTTGTTCCAAAACGTGTACAGCAGAAACAAAAACTGAATCACTTGATTGAGAGTAAACAAGTCATGTGCGGTAGATTTTCTTGCCATTTTTCACGTGTTGCTAATATTTTAGGCCAAGAGCTGGATCATCTGAAAAGTATATCAATTGTACATACAGTCTTAGGTGGTTGATATTGGGACAACGATAGGCTTTCCTTAGACATATTTGATTCGTTGGAGACCGATGTGCTGGCGTTCTGTTTGTCATCAAGTCCTGATGATGGATGGATTGATCAAATTCTGGATGATATCTTGACTTTTGAAGTAAGACATAAGTTTCAGTAGACTCTGCTTTAGCTTGTTTTGTCCTTTTTCTTTTTATGCTTTTCAGCTCTGCTGGGATAAGTTCGCTTCATGGTAACTAGCTAAGTTATTGGTTATGTGGGGGTCACCAGTAATCAAACTTTAAATGTACAACATATGATCTGAAATGAAAAACAAATTAATTGATACATTAATCATATACATTTTGGAAGAAATCATAGTGAAAACGCATACTACGTTCACAGGAGTAGATTAAAAGGCAATTGCTCAATAGTTAAGACTGCCTATGGCAACACCTTGATATGATTTTCCATGAAAATCAAAGGCATTCAAAGTCAGTCAGCCGAAGTATGTTGTCTGTGGGGGGATATAAGTTGCTTATTTTGTTTAGAAAATGTTTAAATGTAATGATTCCATTGTTGTGTGGTATAACAGTGTATAGAGATTGGTTGTCTATAGTGAAAATGTAATCAATGGTGGTGGCAGAGTCAAACCTGTTTTAGAGATTAAGGACATGAATACAATCTTTAATGGAGGGTGTCTACTAGGGGTTGAAAAATACTGTCAAGGTAAGTGGAGATCAGTTCAGTGAAATATATGCAAGCAGAGACTATGGGGCGTCTTGGACACTCGGGTTTATGAATTTTGGATAGCGTGTAGAAAAGGGCTATACCGGGGTGTTGAAGTATAAGAATATTGTCAGAAGGGGAAGGTGGTTAGATTTCATAAGTTCTTCTGTACTATCCTTGATGAGTTAATGAAAATGGGGAAGGGGATCATCATGAAGAGGTTTGTATGAGGTGGAATCAGTGGTTTGTAAGCTTCTTGAACATACAGATCTTTACGCCAAACAACAATGGCACCACCTTTGTCGGCTGGTTTGATGATATCCTTGCGGGTTTTCAGGGTGGATAGAGCAACTTGCTCATCTTTGGAGAGGTTAGGCCTAGTATTAGTATTCTTGAATTTAATAGTGTTGATTTCAGCATGACAGTGGTTGATAAAAGTATCGAGGATCAGGAGATCTCCTTCTGGTGGTAACGAGTTTGGATTCCGAACTTTGAAGCATTTGAAAGAATCAGATGGAATGGGGGTTGCTGTTGTACATTTTGAATCAATGGGAAGAGTGTCACGAGGGTAAAATCGGGCATGGTAGGAGTTGAGGTTCCATTAGAATTAATATTGACAGTGTTATTAGTATTTTCTTCATATGAGTCTTGTTTGGAAAAGTGAGCTTTAAACGACATCACTTATAGAATTTTTCCATGTCAACTTTCAAAGAATATTTGTCTGGTCGGTTACGGGTGGTCACAAATTTAAGCCCTTTTGATAAAACAGAGTTCGGCTTCCATAAGAGGAAGATCATTGGGGATTGTTATGACTTTTTTTTCACACCATAGTTCAACAATGAGTTGGCTGTAGGGACACCTACGTGTTTTCAATTTGTAAAACTATGTATAGAACTGTTTCAACAATGTTCCTTCTAACAATATTTTTATTAACGTGCTCCAAGCAGTACGTACATAATTTATAATTTTTATATTCTAACCCTTCAACAATTCTGTCTAAGCCTTTTTACTATATGACATGGTTTAAATTGCCTGATGGAGGACTTCTGCCTGAAACGTTGAAATTAATAATAAAGTTTCTGTTATAGACATGTGTTTTACCAATTCTGAACCCTTTTTTTCATTATTTTTTCACATCTTGTAACTTTACTATGTGAGTTTAATAGGACTGATGTTACTTAGGGAAGGAACAAAATCAAAATTGCATTTGGAGGTTGTAGTTACATTTCCTACAAATTTCAACAATAAAAATTATACCAAAATGTAGATATGTTGTTGGGTTTAAATTTCCACTGTGTAAAGGCACATTCTAACAAGTTCATAAAAATTACAGTAAAGTTACATACAATTTTATTGTTGCTCATAGCAACACACTGAGTTGTTTAGTTTTCCTTTTATCCAAAAATAATGTTACGTCTCCGTTCGCTAGTTAATTTTCCGTAAATTCGTTCGACGAAACTTTAGCGACGCGAGTCCTTTCTTAATAAAACTGGTTTATTCTTTCCGAATACAACTTTACGATACACTTAATTTCAACAGTCGCTCTATAACAAACGTCTCACGAGGGCAACAATATTCTGTCCGCATACATTCAATTACTCCTTCACTTGTTGCGTCACGTTGTGAGCGTCTTATATATACCAGACTACCCCCAATCTAGTAGTCTCCCGATAATTCACGAAGGTTCGAGAGAAGGACATGGCGTTATACTAGTCACGTGACCTCGCTGACGCAACAATAACTATAGTTTGATGTAATTTTATAACAATTTACAACTTTTCCAGTAATCAAATGTTGATTAAAATACTAAAACCTTCTTTACTGTTAAAGCTTTTGTGCTTGAGAATGATTTCACCAGAGATCGAAATGCATACCTGTTCTCAAAAGTAATCTTCCTTACTGTGAAAGATGTAACTTGTAATAAAATAATATTTAATCAGTTAGTAAACTTAAAATGAAGCTATTAATTAGAATATAATGTTCTCTAAAGTAAAGAAGAGAAATCAAAAGGTCATTACAACTTGTATATCCTCATCCAGAGGAATAGAAGGATACATAGAGACTATCTTCAGGGTAAATTTGTTACGTGGTGTGATTAATGGGGAATCTTGTGTTCAACTTTAAAATAAACTTGTTAGTGTTATTAAGATGTGCTGGAACTTCATTTAAAAGATGATGTATTCTTTTCAAGTAGCCAGGATAAAGGAGTAAATAGTGAGTTATAATTTGGAACAATTGGGCATAAGGGATGTTTGGTTTGTTTTCCTTAGGTAGTTCATATATAGTCCAGCGGTTTGTGTATGTGACAACTTCATGTTCTGTTGGTAAAATTTTATTTCTTTAAATTCATTAACTCTTTTTGTCCTTAACTTGTGTTTTCTACTGGGGTCACAGTTCAGATTCTCAAAGGAAATTTCATGTAGCATGTTACATATTTTTTTGTGTAGATACTGTACTTTTGTTACAACAAAATCTTTAGATTTAACACTAACTTTTACAACAATCATTACCTTGGAGGGTCATTTATAGCAACCTATTTATTTTTCAATAGCTCATATTTAACATGGTACTCTTTAAAACCATGTAAGGTGTTATAAATTCCTTATATTCATTTATCTTCAATAATTTATCAGTTTTAGAAGGAAGAAACCTAGGTAGATCACACAGAACGTAATTTAATACAATCAATATAAGTAGTTTTATTTTGAACATTTACAGTGTCAATAGTATTATCATAGTCACTTTATATTTATCATGAGAAACACAGATTTTCAGGATAACCTTATGAGTTATGTACTTAACATTATCAAGTCAGCTTGTGAATACATTCATAGAAGATAAAATATCTAACTACACTTTTGAAAGATTATTTGTAATAGCATTTAGACTTGTACTTAGTACCTCTGTATAATCATGTGACAATATTAATGTTGTCTACAACATTATCTTTTCACCCACATTTTATAAAAATGTGTAGATTACATCAGAAATAAGTGATGAAGGATGTTCATGTTGCTAAGAAGGAACTTTGGAAAATGGTGAAAATCATCAGAATATTCCAGATGTTGCAGAGAAAGCTTTCTAAACTTAAACCTTTTATCTCACTTTCACCCTACTGTGAAATTCATCATATTATTATTATTTTGTATTATGGTTATTATAATTGAAATCAAATGTTTTGCTTTCTATTCGTACATTGCGGAATACCAACCAAGAATTGATCTAGAAGTATGCTTGACACAGTTAGAGAGACTTTGATATCACTAGCATCTGTAGAGTTTTATGAGCTAATTTTTGCTGCTGTTGTATATAAGCATCTGCACCACTGTCAAAGGTTTTTCTAGATAGGAAAAAAAAAAAGATTCATTAAGAACCCAATTCCTTCTGTCAACAATAATAGCCCCCCCCCTCCCCCAAGTGGCTCGGCGGTATGTTTGCAGACTTACAACACTAAAAACTGGGTTTCGATACTCTTGATGTGAAGAGCACAGATAACCCATTGTGTAGCTTTGCGCTTAACTACAAACAAACCAAAATCAATAGTAATAGAGGTTGGCCTTTGTATGGATAAAGATACATACAAAGGTCTAAAATATATGATGATAATAATTGATAAAATGGATGTTGAAGTATTAGTTAGTTCCTTTGTTTTGCCATTTTATTTAAACATTTAACAGTTTCAAAGGTTTTTTGGTGTTTTTTTCTTGTATAATTTTGTTTGCTTATTTTTTACCATGTTGCCTATTATTGTACACAGGCTGATTCTCATACAAAGTTATTTTCATACTTTACTTACACTTTTTGTTTAACTAAAGCTACTAATCTTGAGAGAACTGTATTAATATGTATGTTATGAAGTACAAACATTTTGCTTCAACTTATAATTTTACCCAAGATCCTTTATATATTTCATATATGTATCTTTGAAGCTATTGCTTTCTTTTCACACATTGTCATATCAAATATTTACTTCTGATGACAGCAAGCTATGTACTTGAAGCGAAACTAAAAAAAAATCAATTTGGCAATCAGTGTAGCTGAGTAAATGTTGTTTTTGACGTTTCTGCTTATACAGAGTGGAATGCATTGTTTCATCAGTTAGTTACCGTCACTGTAGAACGATATTTTTGTAAAACAGTTTTTATAATAAAAAAGTATAATAATAAACCAAGATAAAACAAAATCACTGCAATTGTCGTACAAATTAGTATAATTAATATTGATAATCAAAGTGAAAATAATATACTTTAACTGTGGAACATAAACACTAAAGGTGTGGCGATACGATTGTATCGATACATCGTACTTTATGATTTATATATCTTCACGAAATTTGGCAAGCTTTCAGTAAACATTATAAATCGTTTGTACAGAAAAAAAAATCATAATTTTTAATAAAGTATTTTTGCTAAAAATTAATGATTCAATAAAGGAAGACCAGTATTGAGTACTACATGTTGTCTTCATTTCTTTTATCAAAAACATTACACGCAAAGCAACATAAATTAATAATAACAAATAGACATATATTAGCTTTTTCTATTTTAATTCTCTTTCCAGCTACCAATTAGTTGATCAAACCTGAGAATTTGAAAAAGCACTGTAAAGTATGAAGTACTAAAATAATATAATGTTAGTACTATAGATGATAAATTACAGACAATAGTGTCAAACTTCGTAACAAACCGTTGGTAAAACTTTTGTATCCATATACGTATCGTATTGACTACTATGATGAGATACGCGCCCCTATCAAATGCTAGCGGTCTATTTGAACTACTGTCGTAGAAACAAAATATTTTGAAAACATGAAATTACTTGGTATAATATACTGTTTTCTTCATTTTCCCTTTCAAGTATTTTGATAAAAGAAAACTTGTTAATTAATCCATTCTTGCTTTATGGGAGTGACATCATATATTTTACATGTTACTGTTTAAACTTGCAAAAGAATAAATGATTCATGAAAATAACAATTGTAAGTGTAATGTAAAGAAAACAACATGCCAAAAACCATATCTTGTGTATTTAACTAATCTTTGCAACAAACGCATTGAGCTAGTTACAAAGAGAAATATTGTAGAAGCTAAAAAAAAACCCGACAACTTCTAGAAATCTCAAATTAGCTCTGTGGTTAGCCTCACGTTCAAGTCCCAGTTAAGTGGTGAATTTTTATAGCATTTTTGAATTGTTAAGTCATCATGTTTAGAGCAATATCATACAATATTAGGAACAACGAGAATAACGTGATAGTTTAAATTAGAATTTGAATTATCTATTAACATTCGATTATAAAGACTTCATTAGTGGTTATTGCTCTAGAGTCTAGACTATGTTGAGCAAGCTTCGCGTTCAAATTCAGTAAAGTTAGAATTCTGTATTTATATATTGTTAAGTATTTATTATGTTTACAGCAAGCTCTTTGGATATTCAGAAAATTATAAATAATGTTATGGAACTGTAATGTTCGACTCGATAGATGGCGCTATAAAACATTATTATTGATGTTCTTTAACTCAGATAAGCGATCTTTAAAATTTTAATAAAAATTTTTATAATCATTTTTATGAAAAGTCATACTTTTGTGCGTTTTCAATTCATCCTCAATTTCTTTGCCTTTAATAAATCGCAGAGTCAGGCACTTGATCATGTAAGAATATCTCTTCGCAGCCAGTTTGCGTGGTTCAATCTGTTAGTCTATATCAAGAAGCAGATTTGAACATAATATAAACATACATAAATCAAAATATAATCAAGGACCATTTACAGTAGATGATCAAATATACAGAACAAGCGTTGTTTTTGTGAAATACTAGTAAAAAATAAATATTCTTTATACATATATTGCTACTATATTTTGTAATAAAACGTTTATTTTATTTCATTTCACAATAAAAATTTCTCAACATTTACCATCATATGACGGGCATTCAGCTAGTGTACAATAATAATAAACTAATTGGATGTTAAAACAACTGGTGGTCAATTCATTAAAATCATTCACTGTTATCCTAAACAATATTCCAAGGAATTAAACTTTAGAGGAAAAGTTTTTAAGAGGCCTTGATACTCTGTGAAACTTATAATCTCATAATCTGTAGAAAGAATGTTTTTTCAATTTTCTATGGAGCTTAATTAATTTTGTGCTTAAAATGCGTAATGAGAAACCTCTATTATAGAAAATAAAAGTGAGTTTAAAATCTCTCACCACAAAATCTTGTAATGATAAACAAATTATATTGCACGTAATAAGCTGTTGTAAACATAACTTATTTGGAAATGAAAAATTTTCAATTTGAAAGTGTCCACTGAATTTAAAACTTGAACGTTTAATCATCTTATGATATAGGTACGTTTTATGTTGTACTGTGTTCCTTTCTCATAACATAATTTGAACTGTACAATAACAGTAGACACTGGACCTTTGAAAAAACTGATGCTACTGAAAAGTCAAGACCTACCTTTTGTCATGTTTAAACTTTTCAATCTATAATGCAAAAGGTAATCGCTAAACAGATGCACATTAAGTACAAGTTAACACTCCAACATGTTATCGTCTGAAAGTTTGGAATGAGAGAGGTTAATATGGAAAAAGATTGAAGATATTGTTGCAGCTTTAACTAATATGACATGCGGATTAGTCTTGAGACCCTGTCTTAGTCTCGAGACAAATATTCGAAGTCTCGGTCTTGATAGCGTTCTCAACACGCAAATCACAGTCTTGTTTATTTGCACATAATTATAGACATTGACAATTATAAAAGACAAAGTAATTTAAGTAATGCTATGTTACTAATGATTATACTCTAGGAATGTACCCTACTTAAAATTACAACCCCTAGCGCATCAGGTTTCAAGTAGCCACAGTCTCTCTACTTTCCCATTAATAAAGAAATACACCGTTTGCTACGCAATACAATTTCTGTAATGTTTTAGCTCCCTTAACAAATGTTATTCTATTAGTAACTCTTACGTATTGAGAATTTGAAATTGTCCAAAGCCGAGCTAAATATATTAAATTTAACAGTTAAATCGTATCCTGGATTTAGTATCTAGAAATATGCCAATATTTTAGTTAATTTGTGCTATTTCCCAACAAGATTGATACACACCGTTTTCGTCTTTCACATAAATATGTTTTTATATATACACAACAGTATAATTTACAATAACAATTATTATGACTAGTTACTACAAACAAAGTTTCATAAACAAAGATTTCACTAACTTACAAACAATATACAAATTTTCTTTCCAGATTGGAATTCCCTTGATATCTAGCGAGGTAACTTCAAGTCAGTGTACGTACGATTGTCGGGAAGCTAGCTAGCTTTCTTTGTCTCATTGGTCACCACACTGAATTGTTGGTACGTAGAAGTAAGTTAATGTTTCATAAAACTACTAATGTCCGATGAGAATCCAGTAATATTTTCGGAAAAATACTAACGTCCGATGATAATCCACTCATGTTCGAAATTTGTAACTGTTCCTGGTCAAATGTCATAATTTTGCCGATTGATGAGTGTTATAAAGAGCTTTCAGAGTTTTTAGCACACTGTTTATAGCGGACGACTAATAGGCTCTCATTTTGGCGCGGCACTTTAACTGTTTTTATAGGCGCGGGAAAGGTGTTCTAGAAAATTCAAACAACAATACTGAGCTATATTTAACCAGTTATGGAAGTGGATATATTGTCGATTCTTACGTTCATGAATATTATAATACTTTGGAGAATTGACGGGAGTTTCGCAATACGTATCCAACACTGTAAGCTAGGCACGTTTTTGAATATAAACTCAATCCAAACAAACATTGACATTAAAATAAATATATAACAAATTCGTTACACGCAATACATATCTAACACTATAAGCTACGCATATTTTTAAATACAAACCGAACCTATAAACCGTTCATATTAAAATAAATACATAAATTCGTTACGTGACGCAAATGCAATCACTGTATGATTATTTGTAACAATGTGTGCTTTAGTGGTTATATTTGAAAAAATAAGTTTAACATTACCAAGAGCAATTTATTTAAACGTATAGAAATTTGACAGTATTGATTTATAGTGGAAACTGTACAACATTATTGAATTTTTTCGATCGGACTCACGTGAGATAGTTTTCAATTGGAGGCGAAATAGACAATTCTCTGCACAGAAAATAGTGTAATTTAATACGTTATTGGATGTATTAAAATTTTGGCTTTTTTCTATTATTTATAAATGATATATAAAACGTCAGAGAACTATTGGCAATTTGTGAAAGAGAGGATGTGACAGGTGGGCGCAGCAAGTGTATCTGATTTTCTAGTTTATGACTACAGAAACAAATAAAATTGAAAGCTATAAAATTACGCTTTGCCTCAGTAATATCTATATTATAATATGTAATTTACGTTAAAGTCCGTACTTCTAGGAGGAGTGATAAATAAATTTGTATTAATAGTTTTTTGTGAAAAGGTTTTTCTATCACCAGTTCTAATTTGCTTCTTAATAATTCCCATTTGTGTGTATATATATACATGTTTTAAATTTAGAACACCCAATAATATTTACCCATTTTTCAACCTAACTTGGACTCGCCAGTGAAAATCAAGTTGCCTCACTGAATCAGTGATTCCTCTGAAAGGGATAAGAAAAACATATGATCTCTACTTTGATATAGTCACTGTCAAAGTCATACGCCCAGTTGATGCATTGTTCTGAAAATATGATGCAGCTGAAAATGTTGACACCCTTAATCTGCAAATACTCGGGAGGCCAGTTTTGCACCACCCACTGGGAACTCCCCTCCAAAACCAGAAATGGCCTAGACACTGCTGTAGACTATAGAGACAGTGTTCGAAGTGATGCACAAAGCTACACAATGGACTAGCTGTGCCCATCACGAGTATTGAAACTCAGTTTTTAGTGTTGTAAGTCCACAGACATGCTGCTGAGCCGCTGGGGGGCTAGAGACTGTGATACATATTGAATTCTGGGTGGAGGTTTTACGAGATATGTCTCTGTTAGTATTTTTATTTAATGTTTCATGTAAACATTTTCATAAAATAATTAAATAAAAGTAAAATATGAAATACAATTTAAACTCAATTTTGATAATACTTACTTTATATGAGCGCTGGACTACAGTTCTCTTCGAACAGTAGTCCATGAAATCCAAGTTAGACACTAAGTTCATTTCAGGAAAATTTTAACTCAATGATCTTGATACCTGAAAATGACAAAAAAAAAACAAACTAAAATACGTAAACCGTTGAAAAACGTGATCTCAGGGCAGACCTGGCCTTGAATGTGTCAATAAATAACCCCCCCCCCCCCCATGTGCTTCTAGTGAAAGAGAAAGTTGAGAAACTTGTGGTCTAAGAAAGATAAATGAAAAACAATATTTTGGGCCATAATTCCAACAATATTACAAGATTCGACCAGCTTAGGACACATAGATTAGTCCTAAGCATACATATTTGGCTAACAATGCAAAACAAACGTAAATATACTAAACTTTCAAACTAATACTGTTAATGAAAGAAACATTGAAAAAAGAGCAGAATATAACTTACTTGTAGAACACGCACACTACTGATTTTCTTCGTGTACTACCATAGATTAGATGAATCTTTCTGTACACACGCTAGCAAGTAATGAGCTTACCAGAAGATCACCACCTAATACAAACATGTTACATATGATTATCATAAATTTCTTCTAAAAACGAATTTAACAGAATATAATGCAAATAAGTTACAAAAGAAACATATAACTAAGACTGGTAAAAAATGAAGGTACTTTAAAAATAATTATACAGTAAAAATGTTTTGACGAGAACAAAAAATAATGTCAAAGAAATTATAATCATATTTAAACCAGAAGAACGTGAAAGTCTTAATTTAATAGACACCTCGTACATCATAATATTAGTAAGATATCATAAGATACTGAAAGTTGGTAAACATGTTTGGAGCAGGATATTTATGTTAAAACAAGAGAGTCAAGAAGAACGAAATAGTAATTTATTCAAATTTGTTTGATTCAGAATTTCGCTCAAAGGGGCTACCTGCGCTTTGCTATCTCTAATTTTGAATTGATAGATTAGAATGCTATTCTTGTCTGGTCGAATAGTAATGTTTGACCATTTCTCTTAGAAATCACCCACACCTCAAAAATATGGAACGCATTTTTGCGGCAATTGATCATGAACCATCGGATTCAAAAAATCCGAGTATAATAACCGCTAAACCACACCCAACCTCTACTACAAAGACAGAGAAAGAAAATATAGAGAAGTCAAATTTCGAACATTGATTTCAACCAAAATGGCACGCCCCAACCATTTTTTACGTATTGTATTTCAAACAAAGATTGTTTGTATTTAAAACATTTGACATCGATTCCAGTCACGTGGTATGATGACGTGAATTTTCAGATCTGAGGTATGTGTGTGAGCAAAACAATGCAAATATGAAAGTACTGAAAATGTTCTAAATAAATGTATTCATTGTGTCACATTTATTTAGCATTTACATCTCTTTTAAAATTGTCGTTTAATAGCTTATATCTCAACGGCGATTTTTTAAATTAAAAATAAATAATCAGCTAAGAAGTTACTTATCTCAATTATTTCATGGATAAATATTCTTATTTCATCACTTTTGCTGTTTTTAAAAATTTGACCGTAATGTATGTAAGTTTGACCACAATTTTTGTTGAAATAGTAACTTTCTCGGTATAACTGTTTGCCAGTTCGTCACTTTCCCATATCCGGAGAAGAATACCATCTTCAAGCTTCAGCTGGTCCCATTGTACTCAATAGTTCTTTGTCACAGGACTTAAGCTAGACACCTTCTCCCAAGCAGGGCGCAAAACACTTGCTTGTAGAAAATAAATTTTTGGCTTCAAATCTTGGTCTTTCTCCTGTTTTGCTTAAATATCTATACTTGGTTCCATTTCACCATCATCAACGCCTTCAGTCACTTTGACTTCAGCTTGATGACACCTGGTTAGTTCAACCTCTCTTTTAACACTTACCGGAATTTGGCCTTTGTTGTTCCCAAACGTCATTTTTATTAAAGTTAACTACAGTAGTAAGTAGTCCAACCCTAATATGCATTGGTATTCAATGTCAGCCAAGTATACTTCGTGTCTGTCCTTTATGCCCATGAGCTCAATAGTTACCCACATTGGTCCCCACAACCTTGCATAATGTCCTGTTACACCACAGAGCTTCTGGTACTCCTTCGTGATCTAGCACCTTGATACTCACAAGGGTTTGCTGAGATGCAAAATCTATGACAAAGTTGCACTTTTGGCCATCACGCTTTCCTGTCACATAGACACTATGTGTGCTTGCTATTTTACACTTAGCTGTTGGGAATTACACCATGGGGGTTGGTGGGCACCCCTCAACACCAACCACTACTGGTTTCCTCGAGGCTGACTTATTGGTAGCATTTTTCTTACTCTGGCTCATCATATGTCCTTGCTCTTCACAGTTCCAACAACCTTTCCAAGTAGCAGCCTTTCCTGTTGTGGCATCTTTCCTGTGTTGAAGTTGCCGGCATTGAGCTCTCTTGTGCCCAGGTTTGTTACAGTGCCAGCAAAGTCCCTCAAACTTCTCTGAAAGCTGCCCTTTTCTGGCCTTGAATCCTGATGACTGTACCAACCTTGGTATCTCTGTGCTGGACTTAACGTAGGATTCAAATTCGAGAGCTCTGGCCATTGTATCTTGCATGGAGAGGGGTGTGCTTGCTTCACTTGTATGTTTAGTTGTGGACTGTCCAAGGCATCTACGAACTGATCCCTCAGCAACAGCTTGAGGACATTGGGTGGTGTAGTTGGGTAGGCCTTGTGTGCCATACTTTCCAAATCCTGTGCCAGCTCTTGCAGGCTATCCCCTTTAGTACGGACTCTAGTCCTAAACCTAGCTCTGTAGACTTCAGACTGATTTTAAGTTCCATACCTGAGTTCTAGAGCAGCTACCAGTGCTATATAGTTGTGCCTGTCGTCTGCTGACAACTGTCCAAGTACTTCCAGTGGTTGTCCCTTCAAGCTCGTTGCCAGGTATACTGCTTTCTGCTCCTCTTCATTTCATCCAGTAGCTCAAATTGAGCTCTATATGCTTCCCATCGAATTCCTGTGGCTTTCTTCATACTAGATCACCCATATTGCTGACACTCATGTCTGGAATGTGACTTCT